AGGCAGCCTGGTCGCTGTCCACCAGGCTTCACGGTTCTCCTCCTGGCCTCCATCCCCGCCTCCATCCCAGCCCGGAAGCTGGCAGTTGCACTGGTCTCCCTGAATTTGTGACTTACTTTTCTGGAAATCTGATATCTGAAGTACTAGTTAAAATCTAGCAATATAATGTTTCTTATGAATGCTTCCCTGCCAAAAATCTAATAACATAGCATTAAAAAAAGACAAAGTAACAATTTTGTTCCTTCAAAACCACTCAGCTGTGCAATCTTTAGTTCTTTTAGACCTTCAGAAGGTACGATCAGCATGCATAGCAAGAGTCACGCCTCTTACAACTTTGCAAGAGAGCCCTCCGAGCACGCCAAGCTGCATCGCCTTGTTAATAAACTTCAGTCAGAATGCTTTGGGAGATAATTTGATTTAAAAAAAAGAATAAAAAACACCGAAGCTGAAATACTGCTTTTATAAGCTACAAGATCAATTCACCATGTAATTTTTTAATCAACTGAAATATATACATTTAAACAGAAAACACAGATGACTTAGCATTCCCCCATATCATGTCAGTGAGCGTGACTCATTCCTTATAATTTTTTTTTCTAGTACTGTCTTGTGCTCTGACTTATGGGGCAAAAACTTTCCATGAAAAATGTGCTACTTTTCCACTTTTGGCCTTGTATGTGCTGCTCCTTTGCCTTAATTACAATATAAATCAACTGCAAAAAAAGATTTACAGTGATTACACCTCACTTAGAGCTCTGCAAAGATGGATCTGGAGGCATTGTTTGTCACGCACTGCGTCCTCTCCTCAGCCAGGCTGGTTCTACAGTGGATCTCAGGACAGCAGAAGAAGGCAATGTGGGCAGAGGAAGGGACCAATCACACTCTCTGTGTCCTCACCAACTGCGCCTAACCACTTACTCAGAAAACCCCAGGGCGAGAGGCTTTCCACACTGCTGGGAACCTCAGACCCATGCAATGCAGTAGGAGAAAAGGTCACCATAGCTGCTGAATGATCCTTCAGTACAGCCCCACCTTCTCTGTTATGTAGCTGACCTATGGGAGAGTAATTGGAACAGAAATCTTCCCATTTTGAATGAATTAATTCCTATCACCACCACCAATTTATTAAGGACCTATATTCAGGCCACTGTACTAGTTTCTTGGACAGGTTAGTCAGTCCTGACCTTGCAAAATTTGTCTTTTTCCTAAGGTAAGCTCGTGCACAAATGTGATCTCACCAAAGCAAAAGACAAATTCAGAACCTAATGAACCTAACATGCCTTTCATCTCTCTGCTTCCTCAGAAGCTTTGGGAGGTGCTGTGTTTGGGTTTAAGTTTTGTAGCTTGACCTAACTAACCACACTTCCACAGACAGCTGTCCTGCCCACCCTACTGCTGCTCAGCAGGTCAGGGCCGCTCTGGTATCGGGGCCCAAAGAGATGAAATATGGGCCTGGAGACTTCTTTGTGTTGGGTTTCTCTGAGAGCCAGTTGACTGCTTCCTTGAACAAGTGACCTCAGTGATTCCTTCTTGACGAAATGTAACAAAGCTCCAGGCACATGATGAGGACAGCTATTTGCTAATTTACCAGCATAGCCCTGTGGGGTAAATGGAAGTTTTCATCCAGGATTTCCAGAATTTCCTACCTAAACTTAGTCCATTTTCATACCAATGGGTGTTTATCATCACAGAACCTTCGGTAGATCCGGGGCCAGGAGTGGAGAGAAAACGGCCATTCTCTCCTCCTTTCTGTTCCTGGTACCTACCTGGTCTGATGTTTGCCAGTCACCAGGGACCTGCCCATGGGATTTTTTCCAGAAGGGGTGGGCAGGGGAGCAAGCATGTGCAATGCCATAGGGGACAGGTGGGTGCAGGGCCTGCCTGCAAACCCAAATGAGTTGTAAGAAATGAACACCTTTCTCCCAACCTGCCCTTTCCCTTGACTTCATAGGGAACTTGTCTGGGAGGGGAGCCCCCCTTACTCCTGCAGCTGCAACCCTTTCAAAAGTGGGCTCTTCTTTCCAAACAACATTCTTGAAAAGTCTTATTGTCTTGTCCAGTTGTTCTTTAGCTTCCTTGTTTTCCCAGAGCAGAATCTCCTGTTGAAGAGTCCAGTGCCAAAGAGGATCACTCTCAGCTCAGAAAGCAATGTAATCATACTTAAAAAGTATATTCTCAAATCCAGAAATTAGCTAGTAATTGAAATCATCATCACAGTGTTTTAACTGATGACCAGTGAACTCTTTGCTGGCAGACGGCTCATAGAGCATTAATGGCACGTCACATTACAGATCTGCAGAGTTAAGTTCTGTCCTGTCCTTGGGACTGTGAGGTCTAAGGCGACTTTGTGTCTTTTCAGGGTACAGAAAAATCCCATTAAGCTGAGGAAGTTCCATTTGGTCTGCGAAGTATGTGCCTCGCTGACCTTTCAGATGTCCTCCCTGCCCTCCGAGCCCGCAGTGCTGGGCTTACTCTTCCACCCTGCCAGGAAGCCCCGCAGCTTTTGCATCCACCCACGTAAGCGCGCTTCAGAAAGCCACTGCATGAAGCAAAGTCAGAGGCTTCATGAAGGAAGGAAAGGCGACTCTGGTTTCATTCTCTCTGCTCAAGTCTGCAGGGGCAGCCCTGTATACATTCTGATGGATTATTTAAAGTAGCTCACAATAATGACTGTTACTAATACAGGAATAGGGCCCTAAATTAGGAACAAAAATAAAATGTCCTTAGTGTTAGATTTAATATCTGCCTTATGAAGTTTGTAAGACACAAAAGAAGAAAAGTTGATAAAAATTAATGAAAGGTAGCTTTGAAAATGTGACTATGTATAAAACTTAATACAAACACTCACAGAAATAGAAATCTTATTTCAAATTTCATTAGTTGCAAAGTTGGTTTCTTCTTTTTTTTAATAATTCATACTGGGCCTAGTTTGGCATTGGATTTGATCTTTACCACGGAAAAATTTTTCACCTCCCTAACCAATCCTGAAAACACAGTATGAAAGAAATACTCACCAACTTGAGCAAATAGACTCTTTGAACATCTAGAAACACCTCTACACATCAAAAATGTAATTGTAATGCTAATTTAAGTTTAACAGAATGTCAACTGTCATTTCATTATCCAAATCACTTACCAGTTGTAACCAGCTGTTTATACAGCAAGGCTTAGCCAAGTTAGATTCATCATACAAAACTGAGACTTACAGTCAATGTCTCTCCCTTTGGCTGTCTTCTGAGTCACAGTGCAGTGTGTGTTTCTGCGGGCAGACCCATGCATTCAGACATTCAAGAGCTGGGTCTGGTCACTGCCAGGACACTGAGGAAAGAAAGCCAGGACAGCAAGTCCAGGCATCATGCTTCTGTTTGTACCTTGACTCATCCAAATATCAGCACTGATCATAAAATGAAATTATGTACAAATTTTTCCCGTGTGTTATCTTTCACTTCAGAGATTGATGTCCAGCCACCATTAGCACTCTGCTGTGCTGTCTTCATAACCAAGGCATAGGTTCTTGCAAAGGCTGAAACACCATTATCTTTCCCAATAAAAATACAAATATATTCCTAGCCCACTCATTGGTTAGCAGTCTGTACATCTATAGTCTCATTTTGGACAAGTGTTTCTGTCACCTTTGACCATCCGCATTGGAAATTTCACACAACTTGACTGAATCTAATTATGATCCTTTAAGAGTAGGATCATATTTTGGGGGTCTTTATTGAGATAGATTTTCACTGTTTTAATTCTTATCTCTTACTTAAAATCTCCATTCTTTTCTCAGAGTTATGTTCTAATTCCTAGAGGAAAATGTTTTATAAATATCTTTCTGTTAGTAAGTATAGAAGTATTTATATCACCAAGAAATAAATATCAAGATATTTCTCACATATATCTAAGTTGGAATTGTCAGTTCAAATTTAGTTTCCATAAGAAAATTTTATACCTGCTCGAGTATACCCTTTGTGTCTCTATTTAGAAAGTGTGTTCATGATGGCTTCGAGACATCCAGAGCCAGACCTTTAAAGGGATTATTTCACTTCTTGGGTAATTAAAGCAATTTAGCCTTTGGTGGGGAGGCTATGAATAGCACTTGAGGGATGAGGCATGTAATAATTACCCAGAAAAGCACTTAATGTGTATTATGGCTCAGTTATAACATGCATTTAGAATGGCAGCAGACCAAATCAATATCCAAAACCAGAGCACACATTTAATAATAAATATTCTTAACATACAAAACCAAAAGGAAAGATTTCTTTTACATAATAGAACATTTTGAGAAAAATCTCTTGTAATAAAAAACCTGAAGGCCAAGCTTATCAAAATTAACCTTGTTCATATTACTGATTTTGCTCTTATTCATGTTTAGAAGAAACGCATGCTTAAAAGAAACTGGTAGGGATTTCTATATTACTGCAGCATTTATTTTTAAATATGCATTATATTTTATACATACATTTTATTAATTATGTATATACCTTCTTCATATATATGTATGTATGTGTGTATATATTGTCTCTTACCTCACACTAGTATTTAAACTCCATGAAGGTAAGAAATGTTCCCTTTTTTCCCATTGCTAAAAGAAATACATTTGTTGAGTGAATATAAACATCCAATCATTGAAGCAACATGAAGAAAAATGTAGTGACAGCGTCTCAACTTGGCCTTATATAATAACACAGATTTCACTTTCTCTGCATAATGAAACCACCTAAAAGCCATTAGAATGGGCAGGGATGGTGGAGGTGAAGCAGTAGAGCGTCTCCAGTGTCTCACTCACTTTCTGCCTGAAAGCCAGTTTGATTTTTAATTTTAAGAACTGACTGGGCTGCAGGGAAAAGCAGCCTTCTTTGGAGTTTGAGCTGTCTGCTCTAGTGACATATGTGGTTATTGTTAGTGTTGCTAAGTTTTCTGTATGTGTGACTTCATAATAACACTTTGTTTTCCTAAGTAATGGCTTCTTATGATTTTATTTGTTTGTCACTTCTAAACAGGAGGAATCTTCACATCTAATGCAACACATCATAGATTTCTTCCAGACTTTGACAGATGGTTCATGTGAAAACGATGGTTAAGCAAACAACCGGTGTATCTTGGATGCTGAAATAAAAGACAAGAAAAGTCACACAGTTCAGATAACAGTGTAATTGGACATTCACCTGTTTGCCATTTCACACTTTCATGGACGGAAAACCCACTCACCTCCCAGCATGCTTTGCCTCTCTCACTTACAGCACATCCATGACAATGAAACAGGTGACTTTCATGCTGCTGTCAGGAGCGATCTAATTTCAGCTCTGGGTGACTGATTGCAATTGGCTTTGCCTCGTCTGATAATTAATCTGTGTCACCATTAATTGGAAGAGAGAATAATTACTGGCAGTGTTGACAGTGATCTCCCCACCGTGCTGCCCCAAATAAAGGCTTTGGATTCAGTACTTGAAGTTTGTGTAAACTGTAACGGTACCTGTGCTCATGTGACACTTCCAGACGCTCTGTCCAATGTACTTTTGTTTTTGTGTTTACCAGTCTTTTTTAGATCACTGAGAGCTGTCTCTCTCAATCACTCCTCAATGTTCTATCTTAATTTCGTGGAAGTTTAAAGTTTTCAATGAGCTGGAGATGAATGATTAATGAATAAATTTAAATGCTTCATTTTGTCCATGGATCATTAGTCAAGTCCTTTGTGGAAAGGACCTGAGAAAGGAGGGGAAATTATTGAGACATTAGCCTGAAGCAAGCTTGAGGTAAACATTATGCAGAAGAGAGAGAGAGACAGAGAGATGGAGACACACACATGCATGCACACACACACTCAGAGAAAAAGAGAGCAACATAAGAAAATGGGGAACCACAAATGAGCAACTCTGTAGACCCTAGTGAAAGACCTCCAGAAATTTCCAATCTCAGGTCACTCCCAGTTTAGTTTAATGCGCATATCTGGCCATTTGTTCCCCAGTGTCTACCAAAGGAAAAGCATGTTTCAGTTAAACTAATGGTTTACAGCACATTGTTAATAGAAATCTAAACCTTCCTTCTGCTCGTTAGCATAGCAGCTCCAGCTTTCAGAACCTGTGCAGCCTGATACAGGGCATGTTTCGTAGTAAGGACAGCCACTGGTCCGAATCAAAATGGAGATCAAAGATCTCTGTAAGTTTTAGCCTTTGTGTATATTTATCTCTGGAGCAAATGATACCAGGCCTAGCCTAGAAATACATTTTATCTGTTCCTACTTTTACATAAGGCCTTATACCATAAAATAATTTTACAAACTACTATATTATTTTGCACGTACAGCCAAATTTTGTGAGAATAATTGTACCTTACTCAATTTATTTTTATCTCAAATTTATCTTTTGAAACAGATGTGCATGCACAGAATCACAATAGTGAAAACTTTGTCTCCACAAACGTATTACAGACACAACAGTTTGAGGCCTTATTTAATGCCTCACTCCCAAATCTCACTCCCAAAATATAATGTATCCTAGTGACATGCCAGCATTGAAGGGCAGTATGGTGTGGAGTCAAATACCCAAGCAGAATCACACTGTCCAAAAGGTACTCGAACACATTCTTACTAAGAACCAGTGACCTGTTAGCTCCCAGACATTCACTGGATTCCAAAGACAAAGGTGTCTGCTTTGTAGAAGCTATCTCCTTGGCTGCCTGTGTTTCATTTTAAAATCACATTCCAAGTCTAAGAGACTGAAACCTTGTTGCCTTCTGAGAACCATCTAGACAAAAGCCTTTCCCCATGAGTGACTTTAAAAACTATCGTTGCAGCATTAGGTGTCTCATTGGATGGCTCTAGGTAGACAATGCATCATATTTTATCAAACTCTCTTAGTTTTTGAATGATCTCTCTCTATGACCATTATGAACTTGAAACATAGCTGGTGAAAAGTCAGACCGAAGGAGCTGCCTCCCTGCTCCGGGCCACAGAGGTGCCACAGCACAAGCTTGCTGGGAATCGTGATTTTTTAATTACAATAGAAAATGTTCGTTAAGAATGACCGACTGACATCACCAAACAAGTGAAAGATGATGAGGGTGGACTCTGAGCTCCAGGTCTCTGGCACCAAGGGAGGCGGCCCACACCCTCTGCCCCACGTGCCGGGGGCTTCCTGTGCTTCCATATTCTTCTAATTCATCCATTGTCTGTCCTCTGCATGGTATTGTCACCCTATTCTGATCCACAACAGAACCAGAATAGACTTTTTTCTTAAATTTGTTGTTGCTTTAATAACTGCCAAGGACTCTGTAGGCAGGCTTACATTTAGCTGCACTTTTACAGCTGAAACAAATCTGTTCCTAACTTGCTTCTGCACAGATCTGTCCAACAAAACCATAGAGAAGGGTTTGTCGGCTTGTTCTGCTTTACACTACAGTGGTAGTGTGGATTACGTAAAACATTCTGACAGTTTGGCAGATAGACAACAACTTTGTAAATGGGGGAAAAAATAACCACCCGGTATAAATCACTGTTACACCATTAGATAAATGAGTGCAATGCAACAGCGTTCATAGAACATGCTTTTGGGGGGGATCCTTAGTTACAGTTATGTCTCTACACATTATTTACAAAGACTAATACACGATAGTAAGGAAACATAAATAAAATAGGTTAGACGTTAGGCGGAAGGAAAACGTAGTGAGGAGTCAAATGAACCAGAGAGTGCAGTCAGCACAGAGCACATTCACAGAGGCTTGTGTTTGCAGGTGATGGCTGCACGAGAAGCTCTGAGCTTTCTAGCAGCCAACACACAGAGGTGACCATTGCAACAGCTTGCTCGCTCCAGGTCTGTGACCGTGGACATGACTGTTTTATTTCACTGAACATTGAGCTGTAATTGTTTTTGTGTTCCCCTCTGTGTGCCCAGTGTCAGGCATACTCTATCCCTGGCCGAAGAGGAGGAGCTTGAACATGCACTACATGAAAGCATGAATACACATCCTGGGTCAAAACTGGACTGGCAATGATTAAATAAAACAGTAACTTCTGAATTTCTCCTTGAAATCCTTTAGCAGAGTTACAGTCACACTGCAGATCTTTGACTTTCTCCTGTCTATGATCATAACCAGTTCAGAATGGTTCCCAACTAGGCCTTTGAAGACCTTCATTGGTTTACTAAATATGATCGTTTGTACTCAGCATTATGTAATGAATCTATTGGTATTTTGTAAGTAAATATTTGGTGCTGAAATTCTCCAAATCTTAATACTCTAATTATGACTTTTAATGCATTTTATGTTACCATACCTGTTTGGCAGATTCTTATTTTTAAGGTTTATTCTTCATCAGTGTAAGATTACAAGGTGGAAAGAAAACAGTACAGTGTCATTTATAGCATATGCATGTGCATTTATCTCCTGGAGTCATAAATTCATAGTCTCATTCACATGTAAACTGTGTATGGGTGAGATGTGAGTAACCGCATGGAAGAGGGAGAAACAGGTCAGAGATAATGAGAAGGAAAAGAGAACAAATGAAAAAGGAAATGTATTATTTAAGCTGTTTAGAGTAAAATTTTGTTTCTGATTCTTCATCAAAATCACAAAGCAGTTTCTAAATATGAACATAAGTATATGCCTCTTTATTTGCAATAATTTTATTTTGGTGTTTCAAATTGAATCACCCATTAAGATATTATTTTAGTTGCTGGATTTATTAAATCAATTGAAACAAATCACATAAGAAGGTAGGCATGCTTCCTAAGAAATCTGTTCCAGGCAAGGCAAGTGGACCTCATTGTAACAAGGCCCTCCCAAACCCTTTGCTGGATTCCAAAGCGGTTCTGCTATTTCAGTCACACAACTCATCTGTCAATGTCCCGATTCTGTTGTGACACATAAGCATGAATTTGGGTTTAAAGGGCTCATTTGACTTTTACAGGTGTCCATGGTGTGACTACGACGAGAGGTGGAAAAGCTCGTGCTGTATCTTGAAAATGTTCAGTTTCCTTTGTTCTGGTTTCATTTTGGTGCCTCCATCGTCTTCTTTCACCTATTAACACACTTGTTTCACCGCCAGCCTGCACAGTGTGGCGTGTTTCATAGGCTGGGTTGTGGGCTTGGGGTCCACCGGCCTCTGCACGTCGCACCCGGGCAGCACGTCTCGGCTTCAGACCCGGCTCGGAGGTGCTCCGGAGCCCGGGAGAGCCTGTGGCGCACATGCCCGACCAGCAGCGCGTCCTTGGCCACGGAGACCGCAGCTGTGAAAGCTCCCTGGCGGCAGGGGTGGGGGGCATCGAAGGGAAAGTAGACCAGCTTCCTGACCGGCCCGATCACCCAAAGAGTCCGGTGAGGGCCGGAGTGAGAGAGCGCATCCAGACCCACCTCGAGTTGCATCAGTATTTCTGGGATTTCCAATGGGGAGAAAAGATGAGGAGGGCAGGTGGTAGCGACGGGGCAGCCTTGTGTCTTATTACAAAGACTAGAGCATCAGGATTTTAAAAGACGGTAAAACTGGGAAAATAAGCCTGACCCAGGACCATCCTGGGGGCAGTGCATGATGCCCTAGAGAGCACAGAGCCGTCACTTCCTTCAAAGAGGTTCATATCTTAGCACAGAAAGCCTGACACATACGTGCACGACCTGCATAATCAGTGAACCATGAGAAGTCCGTCAAGGAATGCAGTTGGGGAACAGGAGGATCGGTGTGATTAATAATATTTGGGGAAATAGTTTGGGTTGCCTGTAACTGAAGAAGGAATTGACTTAGAATTGGAAATTCATCATCTCAAATGAAGATACCCTGGGAGGTAAACAGTGCGAGTGAATCACGTTCTGGCTGTGCTCGGGGTGTATGTAGTAGTAACTCTTTCTGGCCACTAGGGGACCACTTAGTACTTTCACGTTGCATTGAACCACTTACCATTGAGCACTGGAGGCTACAGAAAGACAATAGGATGCTAATTACATCAGGGCTCTGTGACATCTCTCACCTGTGCAGGACGTGCCAGCAGGGGTCTATACGCACTGTTGTCTGGTGACTTCACGTGTGTTATTTTGGTCTTTCCCAGCTTGTGGACGGATTAGTAGATGAGTCTGAAATTTTTAGTGCCTCCTCCCAAATTCCTGGAGCAGGGCCACATACTCAATAAAAATTGAGTCCTTGTATTTTTCCCTCTTTAGGATTTGAATAATAGCCCTCTCCAGGACTCTCCTGGCCCTTCCTTAGAAGTTGAACTCTGATCTCAGGTAATAATTTGAGCCTGGGGATAACAATAAAAATAAATTAAAATTATTACTTACCTTCTAGGTACCAGGTGCTATACATAGACACACACCTAGTTTCTAATCCTACAATCTCTTCCAAGGAAGTAGTATTTTGCTTC